GATTGTTTCTGATTAAAATTGTATGTCCTGGAAGAACGCACTCACGACTGGGGAGCTGCTGCGGCGGTGGCGGCTATCCTTTTCTAGACCACTACAGAGCCCCAGGAAGGCTTTTCTGGCCACGGAACAACAATCTATTACTTAAGCATAGTGTGGAAAATGAAGAGGGGATCATGAGAGAGCAGGGTTGGAGAAAGATGCTGTGCTTGTCAGGGCCTCCACGGGCTCTCCCCACAAGCGGAGCAGTGGCAGCAAGCCCAGTTGCTCCATGTCCCGGCTTCTCCGCATGAGGAGAGCATTGCAGCTGCAGAAAGGCACTCTAGCGCAATTTGCTCATCCCAGAAGGGTTTTCCTTGCAGAGAGTCACGTACTAATCAATTACCAATTAATTATCAGAATCTTAGTCTGACTGCTTCCTTTGCAGCCATTCCTAACATGTATTGGAGTTGTCAGCTAGTCAGGAATTTTCTTGGCAAGGCCCTGGGCCAGCTCTTCTCTGGAATTCACAACTGTTCCAGGACCCCTGGATACAAAGAGGGCCCTAGCAGCTCCACACTGTCATAACAGTGAGCACCACTTTGTGAAATCAGCACCAGCCAAAGTCGTGCCAGTTTACAAAGCAGTCAGGACTGATAGGTGGTGCAGCAGAACCAGCCACTGTTGGTCCATTTGCTAGGGTGGCCACTTAGGCATCACCAAAAAGAGGATACCAATATGTGTAACATTTGCATATGGTGATTTATTTGTATAGATGCAAATTTTGAAGTGATACTTTCAATAGAAATGCATGTGGTTGGGCTGGGACTCCAGAGATCCCCCATTACCATTCAGCCATGAAGCTCACAGGGTGATTTTGGGCCAGGCACAGGCTCTCAGCCCAACCTAAATCACAGGGGTATTGCGAGGATAAAAATGGAGAGGAGAAAGATTATGTAAGCTGCATTGTGTTCCTTGCAAGAAATTGGTTGGAGATTTTTTCACGCATACACACAGAGCAAAGCTCACCGGATGATCATACGAGCCTGCAGGGTGCAGCTAGCGGACTTGCCTCTTGGCTGACAGGATTCAGGACTTGATCTTTTGGGCTTCCGTTAGTGGAAGGTAGTTTTGGGTTGAAGTTTTTGATGGTAAGCACCATTCATCAACGGGATTGATTATCCAGAGAGTTGTTGGACCTTCCCTCGCTAGAAGGGACAGAGCACTTAACTGATGGTGCTGTCCCTTGGATTTCCTGTATCAAACATGGGGTTGGAATCTCGGTCCTAAAAGACCTCCTCCAACTCTAGGATCCTATTGGCCTTTGCCTGTGGTGGGCAAGGCAAGAATTTTGCAGTGAGGTAGACTGTTCATTCTTGGTTCTGGGCTACACTAGGTGTTGGGTGTTTCTGAACAAGGCTTTTATTGTGTGATCCCTCTGCTGAATTCATAGTTTTATGGGGGCCAAAAATGACAGTGCCTTCTGATTTTAATTCTCCTGTGTCTTCCCACTGCTTCTTCTGTCTTTTTGTTCACCACAAATAACCCACAACATTCTCCACCCGCAAAAAAAAAAAAAAAAACTAAGGAAGGAAAGATTAAGCAAATTCGCAGTCCCTTTTGACTGGTAGCACCAGGAATCCTCCATCTGGAAGCCCTCTTACTTGGTCTGTTGGATGAAGAGTCATAGTCAGACTGTTACATTTTTCGTTCTTATATTCTTTAGAGAATATCAAGTGTTTGAAAAAAAGTGTTGACTGCTTAATTCTGAGTTATGTAATAACTGAATTGTTATGTACCTTCTGAACATTTAATAGAAGAAAATAGCCTGCTCTTCCTCCTTTTGAAAAATAGCCTTCCTTTCTTTTAAACATTAAGGAACTCATTTAGACAGGATTCATGGGTTTGATTACGGATTGTCGAGAGATTTGATTCATAGCGCTATATTGTGTGGGCATCCACACTAAAGTCTTGCCTAATGGGCGGCAGCAAAGTTTCAAGGCTTGTTGTAGAAGCGTATCTCAGTCTTAACTTTTGGTTTTCTACAGCTGTTCTTGTTCTGCGGATTCATAAAATTGCCACTATCTTACAGTCGTGTAATTAATGGGACCAGACCCTCACCCTGCCAAAGATTGCGTGGTTGGCCTTGAAAGTGAGGCCAACATAAACAGACTCAGGATTTAATGAATAGCATGAAAAGTGTGGTGAAATTTTCCTGAATGTTACCCACCCCCACTCAGTTCACAGTCCTGCCTGTTTTGGCCCAATCAAAAATGAAAACCACCAAAGAATCTGTCTTCTTTCCCTAAAAGTTTGAACTTGAAAACTGGGAGAGAAGCAGCACACTGTTTTAACTGGTATGGAGGCCCAAAGATCCCAAGGAGCATAATGCTGAAGGAAAGGACACAATTCTGCACACATGTGAAGAAGGGCGCCAGGTGCAGGAGTAAGAGATGAGGCATCAATGGCTGCAAGTCTTGAGGGATATTGTTTCTATCCAGTACTGGAGGCGGTAGACCTCTGAATAGTAGTTACCGGGGAACCAGAAGGAGGTGCTGTTGTACTCGTTTCCTGCACTGACATCTGGTCGGCCCTGGTGCCACAGGCTGCAGCTGTTGCTAGGCCACGGATCAGATCCAGCATGGCTTTTATGTTCTTGGCACATGGGAAACAGGAGCATCTTTTCCCTGACAGCCATCCTTTAACAATCAAGAAAAATGCCTAAGGAGCAACTTAAGTCTGCGCTTCTTTTGCAGGCATACCCAGGTAGAACTCAGCGCTCACTCCAGGATTAGAATCGCTCATTTCCTGGGCAGACATTGTCAGAGAACATCACTGCATGTGCCTTATCTGGCTAGATGGAGAACAGCAGCATTTGCTGGAGAAGCATGGATTGCACTGCAGTAGTCAGTAAAGACATTCCAAAAGGGGTAAGGCCACTGGGTGATATTTTGTGGGGTGTGTTGTGTTATAAATACTGCAAAATTTATTCCCTAGCAATAGCAGCAAGCTAAGCCCAGATATCATCAGGTTGGAGTCATGTCTTGTTGCATGTGCCACCAAGTAATAAAGTGGGCTGCACATTCACTGCCACAGCAAGTGGCCCATGGTGTCAGTATTACCTAACATAATGCAACTCTCCCCACACGAACACAATTCAAAGGAAATCTAGCAAGTGGGAAAGAAGCAGCTTGACAGAGAATCAAGATGCTGTAGAAGTTTCTTCACATGAGGGAAGAAACCAAGACTATAAGCATTCTCAATACTTTATCAGAAACCTAAAGTAAGTCTGGTTGCAAAAGCTAGAAATTCTTGAAAATGAAAGTTTGCCGCCGCCACCACCAAAGCTCGTTTTCCAGCCTGTCCAGCTTTACTGACCCTCTCCAACAAAGCAGACTTTGATGAATTATATCCTTTTCACATTGCTTTTATTTACACCTCAAAGAGAATCATCTGAAATTAGTAACACACTCATAACAGCTAAGCCAAGAATCATAGCCCCTGGGCTTTTGCTTTGCATATTCTGCCATCCCGTAACAGCAGTTGCTACAGAACTTGTGTCAATTCCTGTATGCTAGGTTCTTTTTTCCAAGCCTACTTCCTTTAGGAATTGCCCATTATATAAACATAAGGTGCTAAAGCACAGGAAGAGGCCTGCTGCTTTTAATGCTTTTCCAGATGATCTCTGAACAGTCTTTCTCATACATTCGAGGGCAACAAAGTGAGCTGCTTTAGCTAGCAAGAGAACTCATCTCAGGGCAGCTAACTTGCAGAGAAGTAAAGCAGAAATACTTCAATCTGGCAGGTAGACTCCACAATACAACTTAGTCCTATCTTCCCCTCCCTCGTGTCAACAGAATCTTACACATACCAGTCCACTAGAGCATCCAGAAAAGAGAAGCTTCTCTTAAGTATTTTCATGCTTGGTGTACTGTAAACGAGTTTAAATAGAATATTTTAAAAGCAAAATTTAATGTATTAAAGACACTCATCCCAATGCAGCAGCCACTTAATGGTAGGGAGACAGAGTGTAAAACTTGCCTTATCATTTTTTCAGTGGCTCTTGTTCTGTACCAGAAGATTCTAGCTGTTTCTGGATGAGTGAGTTCTCTGTCCCAGTGGAATTTCCTGCCAACTGATTTTAAGAAGGATTATATAAGCCTCTGCTTACATTTATGTGAAAGTAACATGTGCTTCTTTGGTACTGGAGAAAGATACTGCTCTCAGCCCAAAAAAGCTATTTAAATTCTTCAGGTTCTCATTGGCGTGCTCACCAGCTCTGGGGATCAGGAGAAGCAAGGTAGGATGTTTCTGTCATCCCTAGACAGATCTGCCCTGCCTTCCTCATAGGGATAAAAGGACTGCTATTGGAGTACTTACTTAAAAGCATCCATAAGAAGCTGAATAACCTTCATTGCCATTTTCTCCAATATCAATGCATCATTGTATCTGTTTTGCAGGTTTCATAACTCCATTCCCAACTCTTTGGCATTTGGTTAAGCAGCTTAATCCTGAATGCTTTGTTCTCATATCTACATATGCTGCTAGGAGTATCATATTTTACAAGGCATAACTATTGATAATCTCAGTTCTACATGCAAGAGATCATGTACAAAATCAAGGTTTATTGGGCTTTTAGTCTTTGATATTCTTGCCAATATGGAAATACCTGATCAGTCCCCCCGAGATTCAAGTCTAATGTTGTAAAACTTTAACATTCACAATGAATAGTGGATCTATTTTTCTCAGCAGAAACTTACACTCTTTAGAGCAACAAGGACCATTGCTTAGCATTAGAGAGCCTTCCAGAGAAGTCCACATTGCAGTTTGGATGAAGCTGTAACTGCAAACATTTCTTAATGTTCTAGTCTAACTGGTAAAGAAATACCCAAAAACTGCACATTCAACTAAGAAGAGAAAAGGTAAAATTAGGTATCCCTGTGACTGAGGATTAGCCGATAGCGCACGGACAAAGCGTACTAAGATCTGTTGATCTTGTATCTACAGAAGGAATATGTACACAGTTATGTTGCAAAAATATTTATTGGTTTAAGAATGTAACAAAACTGAAGTAACAACCCATTAAATTTATCTCTTCACAATTTTAAACACAATAGGAAAAATAAGACTGGTTTTCTTAGCTTTTCCAGATGCATCACGTAAGACTGCTGTATCTTTTGTTTAGTTCTGTAAGTTGTTTGAAACCAAGTTCAGCCAGTTCCTCACCACCTTCCAGAGGCCTTTTAGGAAGCATGCCTTACATCATGCCAGGTTTACACCTTCATTCAGCAAACCTGCATCAGTCATTTGGCACAAAAGCATGTAAGTCAATGAACCCCCAAAATGGGAAATGTACCAATGGAAGGTACTCTCAAAATGAGGATTTATTCACAGTAACTGTGATGCTGCACAAGGGCATTCTCCTTTCAAAAAACATCATTGAGTTAACTTGAACACAGATGATGCTAATCACAGTCACAGGCTACAGATCTGCTAGGCTGGACCACCAACACTCAATTTCTCTATCGCATTTGTTCAGAGAACTCACCCACCACTTCTGTCTCCAGAGTCACTGATTTCAAAATTAAACCTTTTCTACACAGCTAACCTACTTTGTTGGTTCAGACATTTGCATACATCACTTGGTTACTTGCAGCTGAATGTGGGCTAGCTCCTCTGGAAAACATGACTTCTGAGGCAGCATGAGAAGTCCTGTGTGCTCATTCACACCTTTGTGCTGCTCTTTGATCCTGAAGTAATCAAGTGATGACCCTGCATGAATGAGCCAGGCCTTGATACAGTAACATGGGAGCAGTTAAGGCACGCAGCTATCAGTAATAAATAACTCAAGTTGGGGAACATGAGCCTCAAAAGAAATGTCAACCAGATAGTTGGTACAGCACAAGACATCCCACGGTCTAGGAAGTTCCCCTTTGCGTGCTCAGCTCTTTGCTTCTTGGGAAAATGAGAAAACCACCCAGATGGACCGCAGGGATGTTTACAGATATTTTAAGGTGCACTAGAACACTGCTGGAGGGCTAAGGCATAAACACACACAGAAGACGACTCAAGACGAGTCATCTTCCAGCAGCTGTCAGCATTGCTTTCCTTTCTCAGCAGGCTTCTGCAGTAAACTAAAACAGCTGTGCTGATGACTTAGCCAACCAAGGCCAGACAGAGTGATGGCAGGATCAAAAGTTGGAAGACACATGTCAGAAAATTAGATGTAGACAGCATGCATCCTACAATGTTTTGAGAAGCTTAGTGCTACATACCTGCTCAGGCAAGTATACATTTCTATTCTTCTGCATGTATATAGCTGGGGGAGGCATATATGTAAAGAAATCTTCCATGTTTATATACTACTTTTCTTTGTCACTGTCTGCACTTTTAGCAGAATCTTCCCAAGTGTTCTTGAATTGTTAGCATTGCTGTGGAAATAAAGGTATTTAAACAATGAGCCAATGCAGTCCACTGGATGGAGCCACTACCTTGGGAAATTTCAAACTGAAGGTTAGCTAGGGATTCATTAAGTGTCTTGGGGTACCTCCCTGTCAGATTTGGTTGCCCATGTGTAAAGCAGAAATTTGCTACTACTTCACAAAGACAAACAGAATAATGGCTGTATGGCACAGTGCTCAACAGAACAAATGGATGTGATACAAAGCTATAAGAATCTCTTTTTTTTACTTCATGTATAACAATGAGCTAAAAGAAAAATTTCCTGGATCCCAGGATAAACCTATTTTAGTGCCAGAAAAAAACAATAAATTTTGAAAGTCAGCAAGGCATTATTTAAAACAATTGTTTCATCATCCCAGATTTCTGTTCCTTGGGTACAACCATGGAGTCATTTGTAGATCTTTTAAGACCAGGGCCAGGAATGTCTTTCAAAACACAAATTATCACTCAGGCATCTTTTCTTGCTTCAGTTAATGCACATGACCATTGCTCACAAGTTATGCTTTCCCACTTAAATAGTAGCATTCTTGCTGCAGCTACAGTGGGAGAGGGCCTTCCTGTGCCTACCTAATGTAGATGCCGACATACTCTGCTTTGTGTTAGGACCTGGAGGCACTCGCGAAGGTATACTTCTGATCTCCACCACCACTATGTCCTTCACTCTCCCGTTCTCTGCATTCTGGTGAAACTGACAAGATTGGGGAAAGCCTCATCCAATTCATTAAAGCATTACTGTGTGCAGATCCATGCCCTTGGAAAAGGAAAGGGCCCCTACTCCTTCCTGAAGCAGCAGCAATTGGGAAAAGAATGGATGACGTTTTCCCAGTGTTGGTGAAACTTTCTAGGTGCTTCCTCTTCAAAGCAACACAAGATTATAAGAAGAATAAATGTAGGTACAATCCTGTCTGGACATGTCAGTTTAAAAACTTGACCATGCATTACAAACTTTATTTCTCTCTTTTAGACATGTGTATCATGAGCACATGTGAAATCTGCCAAAGATCACAGGCCATTTCCCCCTTTAGCAGACCACTGCCCTGCTACAGGGAAGATTTGCTGAAGAAAGAGACCCCACAAACAGCTTAGATAAAGAAAAAAGAATGGTGATGATTGATACTCAAAAGACTAAAGACTATGGAATTCCCCTTCTCACTTGTAGTTTTTCCTGTTAACATACAGTATCTACTTTGTTCGCTCACTCACTGTGTAACAAGACAGGAGGCATGCTTGGATTCAGTACAATCTCAACTATGGACATTTTCAGAAATACTTCTTTTTCTTTTGGCAATGGCTGTCAGTTCCTCCTATCTACTGCTATATGTTTATGATCATCCCACACAAACCTTGGTCTTGTCATCATTCCATATCACTGAATTATTCTGCCAGAAGAACGTGAGATCCAAGCATGTCTTGCTAATTACATCCCCTTCCCTAGCGTAGATATCCCGGTGAAAACATAACGTACTTAAAACTGAAGCCAATGTGTTTTGTTTCAAGTCTTTCATACATCCTTGAGGGAAAGAGCAACTGAGATGTCAAGTCTGCTTTTCGGCAGTAGTCACAGACGTGCATGATTGTTAGTAGCTGATGTTCCGGTCTTATGGGAGTTCCTCCTCCTCCTACGGCACTTACACTGGAAGAGCGGTCTGCTGCGTCGCTGCTTCTTGGGGGGCAGTGACGGGGGGAGAGGGGTAACAGGACGAGACACAGTGATGTCCGAAAAGCAGGTTAGCCGCTGTCACACGCACAGTGGGGACACTAGCAGCACAATGTGCGTTAGTCAGTGGCTCACCTGCTTCTGGAGAGTAAACCCAACACAAACAGGCTTGAGCTTCTAAGATGCAAAAGACAGACAGCCCACCCCACCCCCAAGGACCTGAAACACATAAGAAAGAGATCAACAGTAGAGTCACAACTATCATTCATGGAGCTCCAAGACTTGTTTGTTCGTATCTTATTTCTCATATTTAGACCAACATGCTCCACTTTCAGCCCTCTTGAGCCATCACAACTTGGGCAACTCAGAGGTACAGCAATGCTTTCAGTGTTCATCAGATCTGGTAGCAGTGTGTGTAAAAATATTCAAATTATTTCCTCTCCACTCTGATACTGAAATTATCCCTAGGCCATCTTGCACTTAAGTTCTACAGCAACCGCCTCCCCAGTGCAAAAGAGCAGGCTAATTTGGGAGAAAGGCTCACGTAGAAGCTGCACCAGACCAATTCCATGATGTTCATACCACTGTTTCACAGAAAAATGGATGATGCGATAGGAATACTTGCAATAAGTCCTGTTCCCACCTGGAGCACGATCGCTATTTCCCCTCGAGACACTGAAAAATTCCTGCTCAATCGAGATGAGGGCACCCTTGGCCACCCACAGATTTCTTCCGTGTATGTTGCCCTCGAGGTATTTCGTTGCCCCCACGCACACCGTGCCGGACGTTTAAACCAGCGCTCATCACTACTTCAAAGGTGTAGCTTTTAATGGGCACCTTTTCCACACCACCAAGAGCATTAAAAGTACAAAACGCTCCATTCCTTGCCTTGAAGTTGAGAGAGCGTCCACAACACAACTCCGCGAACTGAGCAACTTTCCTAGTAACAAAAGTGAAACTATTCGGTGCTCTTCCATTTATCGGAAGCGGTTTTATTATGCAACAGATATTTTTTTAAAAAGTTAAATGGAAGAGCAGGGATTTTTCCAGTGGGGTCAATTGAGGACTGTCATTGACCTTGCACGAACTTCCTTCTGCTTCTCGGAGAACATCCTCGCCTTTTGCTTTACTTTTTGGGGGCTGGGGGGCCCGCGACTTTCGAATGAAGTTCTTTTCTTTGACACGGACGCGCTGTGCGGGCAGTCGCACTCACACGCCCGTATCTTTTTCAAAGATGCACTTTCCCAGAATTGCACCCTTGGGAAAGCGGGACCCGGGAGGAGACCCGACGCGTCCTCCGTCCCTCCCTCTGGAGGGATGACTACTCACCTGAACTTCGGCGGGGCTCAGCAGGCACCGCTTCCTCGGGCGGCTCCGGGACTTTTCTCCCTCTTCCTTCCTCGGGACATTCCGGCGCGCTTCCGAGGCTACAAGCCGGCGCTGAGCGCCTTCCGCAGGCCGGGACCCTTCCAGCCGCAGTCGCTCCGCGTCCTGCTTGCGCTGTGCCGCGCTGCCCAACCCATGCCGCGGCCACTGCCGCCGTGCAACCTGCCTTCTCTCTCGCATCCCCCCGCCCGCCCTGACCATGCAAATAGGGGCTTGTGACGCGCCGCGCCACGCCGCCCAATGGGAGATGCGCCCGGCTGCTCGGCCGCCACGCCCCCCGCCGCGCTCGCCAATCAACGGGAATCCCCTCCTCGCGGAGGGCCCGGCAACTCCCTCCTTTCCCTTCCCCGGGAGTTACAGTGCGGGGTGCGGCGCGTTCGGTTCTGCACGTCCTTACTTTAGGGAGGAACCAACTGTACTTGTCCAAGCGTCAGCGTCGCTCCCCCCTCCCTTTCCCGCAATGGTTGCCGCCAGCCCGGCTCCTTTCCAGGGACCCAGCTATTGGGGAAAGGAATTCACGCCAGGGCGAGCCTCGGGTCGAGTTCGTAGTCTTTGATTTGCGCGGCCTCTTCCTCTCCCCTTCCCGGGGGTACTCAGTGGTACAGCCCAGCTTGGGCTTTGCCATGAGGACAGTGTCAATGTGCACGTAGCAAGCGCAGAAGCAACAGCAGGACGGGTCCCAAGCGGCGCGCGGGACCGGCAGGGCGGGCGCGTGCCACTAGATGTCCCCCGCACGGCCGCCGATGCAGCTGTTGTTCGCAGCTGCCGCGCGCTGGGTGTCCTTAAAGGCTCCCTGAGGCCCGGCGCGGCACAGGCCCGCCCGACGCTCCCCGCCCCGCAAGGTAGCAGCAGAGCAAGGGATCGCGCCTTACTCTGTTACCTCATTTACTTCTGTCTGTATATCCGTGCCTGTACGTGTGCACGTGCCTGTGTGCGTGCAAAAACCCCGGGGGATCTGGTTATCTTTAGCTCTGGAACAGTACATCCGAGATTGCGCGGCAAAACCCTACGAATCTTGCATGCTGCCTGGTATAGTCCAAAACAGAGGCACCCGTGTGCACCTGAGCTTCATATTCCTTGTTGGTCGCTTCCTGGTCCACGAATTGCAAGAGACCTTCCGGACATAATTTTCAATTTGCAATTTGCAATTACATAATTGTAACAAAGTTATAGGAGAACGATCATGAAAGAGGTGAACTCGAAAACACCAGAGAAAAGTGAAACACAAAACAAAATCGAATGATTTTTCTTACCTGGTGATTGTTGCCTAGTGCAGGAACTTTTAAGTGCGATCTTTTGCAGGAATTATTGGAGTCTAATGTGCACTTTTAATTTAGTATGCAATTTAGGTTTTTTGCAGTTAGCTTGAGCAAAAAGTTACAATGAAGATTTCAGCTAATCCTCACATCTAAACTATTTGTTGAATTATCAACTGCCTTCCAGTTGCACTCTGCCACACAGCTGGTTGCATGGCAGGAAGAGTGCAGGTGGTTTGCATGTGTGTGCAGTTCGGGTTACACATGTTTTCATGTAATAGTGACCTATCATTTTATGCATATTAGCTGCTTCTCCCATGTGGTTCGCAGCACCTATCTTATGGTATCAAGCATAGGTGAATTGAATATGAGTGGAGAGGATAAAGTGCAGGGATCTCAATTTACAATCTACTGTAGCAGCCTTTCCAAACAATTTGTAACACCTCTGGGTATTTCTCCCCTCCCATTTTATGACGAGATTCTTAGAATCGGGGTCAACAAAGATCTATTGCATTTGTACTGCCTGTCCGTGCAGAAATGCAAAACCCTTGGGAGGAGTGTGGCGAGTGCCTGCAGCGCTTCCTCTCTCCGCTCATCCTCAAATGAACAGCGTGGCAAGCGCATTACATAAAAGCAGGCTTTCGGCACATCGTGGTGACAGTGGCGGCGGCTGCATTCCAGAGGACAGGACGCCTGGCAGGGAGCTTTCGGGCTAAAAGACCAATCATGCGTAAGGGATCTGTGTACAACACACAGGCATGGTATATAATGGCTACAGACTAGTGGCCCTTACCTCACTTCATAGGAATGGGGTGGGATAGCAGCACTTGAATAGGGCCTTGGGGAAATGCCAGCTTTAAATGGGCTACTTCTGCGTCCACTTCTGCTCTCTTCCCTTCACCATTCCATGCTCAATTGTCCCTGTCCTTTCTCCCCGTTTCACCTAATTTCGTTCTGCCTCTTCCTCACCTTCTATCCCCTCCACATTCTCCTTCTGCCATCTCTTCTGCCACCTCATCTTGCCATGCTGTGTTCCTTTTTGGATATTGGGCAGGGTAAAAATTTAATCAATACTCTGTTTTTGCAAACCCAAGAAGTCTGGTCCTACTTGCTAAAGATCAGCATTGGTGATGCAGTGGGATTAATGTTCTTTTGACAAGCAACCCAAATCCAGTTTTGGACATCATCGTGTCAGTCACGTAGCTTTTCAGGCTAAGTCATCTTATTACTACAGCTCTCCCCATCACTAGGAGGTAGCAGGCATGACTATTGCAGGAGGACCCCACCCTGCATTTGGCTGGAGGATTTACAAAGGGGGCAACAGGAAAATAGGAGTCAACAGAGACCAAACCTTTTCACACGAGTAGGAGATTTGCACCCCAGTAGATTTGGGCTGATTTCCCTGATATAACTATTGAGCTGAGCTAAACGGGAGATTGCTGAAGCAAGAGAAGCCCATGACTTCTTTGTTTGTTCCTATACAGAAAGATTACATTAGAGTTTTCTCTATGGCTTTGCCTTTGAAATGGATTTGATACAAACAAACAGGCCCAGGACTTGTTGGGGCTGCTGTAAAATTTCAGAGTGGCCCCATTACACTAGCTTCAGTTTCTGATTTCATGCTAGCAACAGTGGTGGGAAACGCCTTCTAAGCAACAGAAAGATACAGGATATTTTGGAGCTGGCAATTCTTACTTCGCTCACTTCACAAAATGAAGGGTGTGCTAAACTGTTTCTGTTTGCATTGTCTGTGCTCTCACTCTCTCCAGATTATTTAATTATTTCCTCCCTTGGTCACTGTAGACTTGTCCGTCTGATCCAGTTAATTAGCTGCTTCAAACATGTATCCTTTTCTCTTTCTACCGGCACATCTCCTTTAGATGCCATATGCTTGAGTGATTCTCATACACATGTGTTATAAACACTTTCCTTTCCGTCGGAAGAGAAAAATATTCCAGGCTTGCAGAGAGTTCTTTTTAAAACTTTATTGCAATGAAGGGAACAGAAAAGAATGGTTTCTTTCCCATTTTTCTGTTCACCTGAGCACATGTTCACACACCCCTTTTGAACACTGCTCCTGGCCGCTTGTTCCCTCCTCCTTTCCCCTAATTGGCTAATAGGGTACTGAGAGGTTACACTCTCTCCGACTGCCTACTCCTCGCTGCCCCAACACCAGCCCTTCTTCCCAATCCAGCTCTGCCCCCATGGGCTACAATAGGCTCATTGTTTATTGACAAGCTGGGCAGAACAAAATCAGGAAGTATTTGGCCCTCCTACCTACGCCTGTTTCCCCATACCTTGTGCTATCTGATTTTGGCCCCTCCCCTCCTTTGGGCTAAGTAATTTTCTTTGTTATCTTTTAAAATCTCTTTTACTCCCTTGTTTCAAACCATCCTTTCACACCTATCACATGCCAAGCAAAAGAAAGTGCTTCTGCAATCAGGATATGTTATGTACATTAATTTATCCTGCTTCCAAGAGGAAGTGTTTCAAAGAATTAAGATGCATTTATCTGTTAGCCCCTACCCTCTCTCTATATATAGCAATAAGAGTCATGCCCAAAAAAAAAAAAAAAAGTTGGCAACCCCAGATACTCACTTCATTTCTATTTTAAACCCTTTTGGGAAGGAATTTCCACCACTTCCCTGAGACATGTATTCTCTGTTGCCTATTTATTCTTGCAATTCAGACATGTTTCTTGATCTCCCATCTAAATTGGCTTTGTAAACACTGAAGCTACTATTCTTCCTATCCCATCACAACACTAGCTTCCTCTTACTTTCAGCATCTTGCTCACTTGTACATCTTCATGCAGCACTTTCACTGCAAGAAAACACTAGTGGGTCTTGGAATCTGAAAGTGGGGTGGAGGGCACAGGCCAATATTTTTGTACAGCACAACTACACCCCTTTGCAGGAGTGTAGTAAGCTTATTGGTTAATCCAGGGCTGCTGGCATACATGCTGAGTAATACCACTGAAGTCATGGAATTACAGTGCTTTAAAACCACTGTAAATGAGATTAGACTCGGGCTAATTGTCTTTTGCAAGGATTTTGCAATGACCAAGCCAAAAGTCTTAGATCTCTTGACATGCATTAAGAATACGCATACATTCAGCCCTTCCCTTGCATACCAGCAAAGAAGAGAACTCAGTTTTGACCATGAGCAATGGGGTAAACATTTGTCTGGTGGCCACTGCAGCTGTATTTCACTGCAGTGTGATAGGCAGATCTAGCAAGGAATGGCGTTCATCCAGGGAAAAGACTGCTGGCTTTGGGGAATCAAAACCTTGCTCAAGGTTGGAACACAAGCCATGCTGATGCCGTCCTGGACAGTTTATCTGTGTCTGCCTCTGCCTACTAATGGATATGAGAACAATGACGCACTTCCACCTGTGCTGAACCTACAACTATGTTGGGATATGGCATTGTTCACTGGTGTGAAGCTAATCTTGATACATCTGTAAGAAAGTGTATCTTGGTCATGGGACAGGCATCCCGACAGAGCAAATCCCCTCTCCTCCTGCAGACCGCCAGGTGTCCCCCAAATCTGTTCTGGAGGAGTAGGGATGTGTGTGTGCTGGAAGGGCTCTACAGGAGCAGGAGGGGAAGGGAAACCCCTCTATGCACTTGGAAGTCTTGACACATAATAATTGGAAATACTCATAGATCACTG